GGACAGAGGTCTTCAAACTTGGCAGCTTTAAGACTGGGGGACTTCAACTCCCAGAATTCTCCAGCCGACTAGAGAATTCTGGGAGCTGAAGTCCCCCAGTCTTAAAGCTGCCAAGTTTGAAGACCTCTGTCCTAACGTCATATAGTCACCTTCTGACAAGTAAAGTCAATGGGAAAGCCAGATTCACTTAACAACCAGGTCACTCACTTAACCACTGCAATGAATCACTTAACCATAAGTTAAGGACTATCTTGTAATTAGTATTTTGAATTTTGAACAAGTATGTATTTCTTTCGAAATCTATATATTTTGTACAGGCAGTCCTTGATTTACAACGGTTCGTTTAATGACTGTTCAAAGTTACAATGGTGCTGAAAAAATTGACATAACTATTTTTCACACTTATGCCTGTTGCAGTGAGTTACAGACATACAGACCTTGGAGATCCTCCATTCCAACTCTCCCACCCCCCAAGCTGGAAACCCCACAGTCTCCCCCTTAGTCTCCCCTTCCCCCTGGGTGCCTGGAAGTTGAAGTCCTATGATCCATTATGAGATTACTCTCAAAGTAAATTTTATAAGATTTCACTATAAAAGAACCTTAGAACAATAAGGAGTGAATTTATTTTAACAATACTATAGCACCACTATAAAGACTTTTGCAGTTTACGGGTAATATAAAAACATTGATTGTACAGACTTCCATAAAAATAACTTTATAAGGGTCACCCAAACATGAATACACAAACAATAAAAATAAGAAGCTAAATATGCTATAATAAAATGATAAATTGTGTGAGGTTTTCTGTAACAACCCCATCTTTAATAACTTCTACAACATCAACAAAGAGGGGGATAGCCTGAGCTCTACCGTAAATCTGCCCTAAAACTTTGGCCTTGCAACTAAAAACCAATAATTTCTTGCTTCCTCTCCTTCAAACTCCTGAAAATGCCATATCAATAAAAGTTTTGCACTATTAGATCTACAGTAATCAAAATGTTATTGACTGATCTCTTTATTTGCACGATAGAAGCCAGGTGTCAAGGGGAAATGATTTTTTAATCATAATTATTAATAATATATGAAAGTGGGGGTAATTATGTATGCATGTACGCAAATTTATATTGTATGTAAATGTAGGAGAACGTAATATTACATTTTTAAGGTCTCCAAAAGACATCCGTGGCAACAGATGGCTAGACTTTAGCAATAGCAATAGCACTTAGACTTACATACTGCTTCACAGTACTTTACAGCCCTCTCTAAGCGGTTTACAGAGTCAGCTATTGCCCCCCACAATCTGGGTCCTCAATTTACCAGCCTCGGAAGTATGGAAGGATGGTCAATCTTGAGCCTGGTGAGATTCGAACTGTCAAACTACAGTCAGCAGGCAGTCAGCAGAAGTAGCCTGCAGTACTGCATTCTAACCACTCCGCCACCACGGCTCTATAGAAGAATTTTATGATAATAGATTATTTGAAAATAGTTACGTTTCATAGATTGAAAAAATAATTATGTTTCAGATATTTCCCTGATCACACAGTATATGCAATGAATTGTCTTCTCTTTCTTTTGCTTTTCTTTTTGGCAATTTAATAATTTACATTTCTACTTCTTAAGCAACTGGATAAACCGCTTATCTCAATATGCTATGGAAAACTTTCTACGAGCTGTCAGAATTGGAGAGGAGTTAAATGAAGCCTGGATTGTACACAACACTGTGGTGTATGTCTTAAATCACAATAAGCATCTGATTATTTTAAAAAGGCAGAGAGAACTTGTTGAACCCTTTCAGATTCTTTTCAATGCTGTTAAGAATATTGGGAATTTTGGGTAAGTTCTATGAGAGTTTAGTTGGGTGTTTGATGTTTTTAAGGTTCATAAAAAGAAGGTATATCCTTTAATGTCCTTTTGTTGTAAGAATATTGTTGATTTTAGATAGGTAACAATGATGTTAACAGATGAATCCTTTTTTTTACTAAGGGAAGCCTTTATAGTTCTCCATTTGAATAACGCCACTTGTTATTATTGCTGGCTGATGAGATACACTGGGAGTTTCTGCACAATGTAGATACTTAACTAGTCAGATTCTAGTAATTCTTTTCCTTGCTTCCATCTGTTTAACAAATTAAAAAGCTTGAGTTTATATACTTTGCTCTCAGCTCAAGATGACTGAGGAGAATCATTTTCATTATGTTACATAGCATACCATTAAAATAATGCTATATCCCAGTTAAAGCAAACTGAGAGTTTGGGCATAAGTCACTCACCATTTTGCTATCTATATGAGCAGATTCATCTACAGCAGGGCTATCAAGCTTAATTTCATTGAGGGCCTCATCAGGGTTGTCTTTGACCTTGGGGGCCAAATTGGCATGGCTGGGGTGGGTGGGGCCAGGGTGGGCCTGGGGGGGGGGGCATCCTCTGCCAGTGAAAACGGGGCCTGGGCTCCATTTTTGGCCACAATGGCCTTCTACAGCCCTCGGTCAGTGAAAACGGAGCTGGGAGGGCCACGAGCACAGGCACCGCAGGCCAGATCCAAATCCTTCGCTATTTCCAAGGCGCCCCTGGGCCAGATCTAAGCCTCCTGTTGGCCGGATGCGGCCCACAGGCTTTGAGTTTGACAGCCAGAGTTCAGACTGAAGATGAAGTCCAAGCATTTTTAATTCACTATTTTATTTATGGACAGTGTTTTAAAATATTGGATACGTCCAATGTCTTTCTATTTCCGAACTCTTTTTAAGTCTGGAAAAGAAAGGTGTTTTTTCAATCCCCAAATTATTTTCCAGGCTCTAATTAATCCGTCAAAAGGAGGAAAATGCTTTGCATTTCAACCAAAATGTTACTGCTCTTGAATTGCTGTTAAAAAGTTGAATTGTTGTACGTGTCTCTGGATCCAAATGTTTAAGTGACTTACACCAGTAAATAGATTTTATTTGATATCAATAAAAGGTGGCTCCTGGATATTTTATCATAGCCCACTCTCCCTCTTCAGCAGTACTGAGAATTGAGATTATTGGCTACAAAATGAATTGGACTTAAGTGTTTGTTCCATTCTTTCTTTAGGGCTACAGTTTGCTTATTTATTGCTCAACTTATATCCCAAAGGTGATAACTGATTGTATTGTTATCATGATATACCATACTATGTATTTTCCTTTTTCCTTTTCCCTTACTTTTTGGTTAAAGCATTTTCTATGCGTGTTTTTTCCTCTTTCACTCTTGATGAAGTGCTCTGAAAGAAGGAATAATAAGCCAAACAATCTCCTCCACAATTGTTTCTAGCTGTAATATACTATTTTTTTATTGGAAAATTGTCTATACTCTTTCTTTTTTCCTTTTTGTATCTACGGGCAGCATATTACGTCTGTCCAGCATACATGATGGGGCTGGAACACGATGGAATACAGTAGCTGGAAACAGAAATGCTAATTATGGAATTGAAGGCTGTGCAAATAGTATTCGGAGACTTGTATTCTGAGGATGGATCTGCCTGAACAAAATAAATACTTACTGTTAACAAATCTGTTACATGTTTGGTATTAATGAATGCATATCTTGACTTGGTTTAGGATACTAACTTTAAACCCTTTCTCTTCCTTTTGTTTTGTTTTCTTTTGTGCAGGAATTGCACTGTTTTAGCAACCTTATGCAACGCTCTGGCAAGAGGGCTGATTCTTCCTTGGATTCCCAAAAGGGTTTCCAAAACGGATGAAAAGAAACTGAACGAGGAAGGGCCCGCCAAACGTAAAAAGACTGCCTTGAAAGGACACGATAAATCACTCACCGCTCTAATTCTACCTGTGGATCCAGCTGGACTCCACGATATTAAAGCAGCCGTAGAGGTATATTCCTTATCATAGTGGTTTTCCGTATAACAGCAACTTATTCATGATTAAAAATCTGCTTCAACTAGCGTGGGAAGATTCGGTTAACTACCAGTTCATTAGAGGCTGTTTGCATGAAGTAGCTTCAGTGTTAATGTCTGTTCTTTCTTTCATGGAATGTGTAAAAGCATTTTTGTTGGAAGCAAGAGAAGCGGCCAAACGAGGAAGACGTTTCTTACAAATCTAAGAATTTAAGCTTTGGTTTAAGCCAAGCAAGGCTGGGTGCACATTCCTAGAACCGGGAGGCCCTGTCCACTGTCACTCATGCCCTTATGCCCTCTCATCTGGATTACTGCAATGGACTCTGTTGAAGAGCATTCAGATGTTTCAACCTGGGCAGAATCCAGCAACACATGCATTCAATGGCATTCGTCACTTGGCAGTAGGCTTCCATATGCAACTCAAGATGCTGGCTGGAGGTGGTATTCAGCAGTTTCTGACCAGTTCTGGAGAACTGATAGCGGAAATTTAGAGTAGTTCGGAGAACCATTAAATACCACCTCTGACTGGCCCCGCCCCCATCTATTCTTTGCCTCCCGAGTCCCAGCTGATCAGGAAGAAATGGGGATTTTGCAGTAACTTTCCAATTGGAAAG